AAACAATAACTCTTTCTGCTAAGCTGAATATGTCAGCCATCCGCTGGACCTGCTGACCTCTCTCACTTAGGTCTTTCTGATTGATCGCAATAGCGTCTATCCATAGTCTTCTGGGTACAACAGGATCGCGAAGATACGGCAAAGCTTCCGCAAGGTTTTCGGTAACGTCGATGCTATGATCGCTGCTCGACGAAACGCGAAGCCGGCATGGTGATTCGGCAGAACCCCAGGTGTAGGAGAGCGCTTCATACTGTGGCACATCTTCTTTTGTAAGTCGAACGATGCTGAGGTCGCAGATCACTTCGCTATCTCGATCGGCCGCGGGTAGTAAAGTGATGAGACGGATCTCATCGTTGCTTTCGTCCAGTGGCTGGTAAACATATTGAGCCATTTCTTTTTGTCGCCGCAGCTATCGAGCTGCCATGTCCGAATGCAGTAAGCGGCAGGCGGGTATCGCAAGTAGAGGTTGTAAACGTGTATGACGACCGAAACGATATAGGGTGTACTGCATGCGGCGGCCGACAGTAGAAGAAATCAGCTGGAAGGCTGCATGAAGAGAATGTCCAGCCTTCTTATACAGTTGGTGGCGCATCTTATCTGCACAATATCAGCGCGCATGACGAGGTGCACCACGGCTTGTAATGTCAGCCTTCAGCCTTGTGCGGGGTGCTCGACAAGTCACAGTGGCTACTGCTGCAGCGATTCGCTCGGCAATTGAGAGTGTGAAAATCCTATGTTTGGCGCTTCCTATCCACGCAGTGTAGCTGACTTATGGGATGCGAGTGCGTGGTGAGGAGGCATTGCGGTGTCGGGACACCTAAATCGTCCCTCTGTTGCAGGCGGCAGGAGCAAACGACATGCGTAGAGCGAAGAAGGTCACATCCATCAAACACATGTCTTCGGTGCGACAACGGAATGTGACAGCGAAAGTAATCAACGATCTCGATGAAGAAGAAAGATCGTGAAGGGCGCCGCACGTGGCGAAGAAGCCCCGAATCGCGGCTTCCACTTTCCACGTTCTGGCCCTTGCCCCAATTGGCCAGCGGAAACAAACAACGCGCTATTTTTATCAGAACTTCCGCCGCGCTGACTACCCAAACCTCTAATTCCTCAGCGCGCCCTCGATAAATATCCTAATCCGCAACAGCCTGCACGCCCCGGCACAGAAAGCCAAGAAGACTGCCTTGGACAATTTCCGGTCGATTTTCTAGTACAAAGACGACGAAATGGCGCGTGGCAACCAGCGCGACAAGGCTAGGGAGAAGAACCTCAAGGAGCAGGCTGGAAAGGTATGTTTGAGCCTCGTTTCCGGCACCACGAACATCGGCAATCTCTGTCGTCTTTCTTATGAAGAATAAATCGCTAACCCACTGAACAGAAAGGCAAGAACACTGTATGTGTATCCAGGAGAGACTGGCGATAAAGGCCTGGAGGGGTGTTGGCTAACCACAGGCTGCAGCAATCCGGTACCGAATTCGCGCGCACCAAGGAGAACGTAGCAGAGATCATGCGCGCTAAGCAGGCAGCTGGTAAGTTCCTCATCTCGCATTTCGAATCACCTAGACCTCAAAAAGGCCATGCGATACTCTCAAGACGGCGACGCTGACTGCCTGTGTAGCTGAGGCAAAGAGGGCCGCTGAGGGCGCTAAGAAATGAGCGGTCAGACAAGATGCGCAACGCGACAAACGACAACATCTTGATGCCGCCACCGCCGTCACAGTCAAGCTGTTTAGAAGCCTATCATCATGAAGCGGAGTTTCCTGGGTTTGGATTAGAAGGCGAAGGAGTGTGCTTGGATTGATTCCTGGATATACCGAATACACCGATTTCTGATTTTGAACGCCGTGAGGAGCCCATTGCGCCCTTTCCCCATGCAACACAGTCAACACTTCACCACGATTCAAACCAAAACACCAAGCACCAATAGCACTTTTGAACATGGCAAAGATTGTGAAAGTGCGATCTCTTGGATCTAGCTCTAATACTAAAGTTTTTTTACAACGTTACAATCAAGTCTTTAACTCAAACAGCACCACCGCGCGGCTACCATCGCAGCATGTGGATTACGGTATAATGCGAAACGCCCCAGCAAATGATAAAAATGGTATAAGGATCCGGGGGGAACAAATGCTAAACCAGAAGCTTTCTTGCCCGAACCCGTCGTAAGAATATTGTTTCTCGACCAACCACCTCTCCTACAAGATCAACCAAGCGCATACACCTAGTCGATCCATTCTCCTGCTCCTCCTCATTACACCGTTTCTCCAAGTTTATATTCGTGAAGGCGTTTATGCGATCATGCCGGGGAAACCACCGAAGTTGTTGATGGCGGCGGTCTCGGGGAAGGAGGCCATGCCGCAGAGGCATTGGCAGGAGCAGGTCTGGCCGGCACCGTCGGTTCCTTGTCCAGCGACGACGGTGGCGGAGGCGAGAGCACCGGTGCCAGTACCAGTACCAGTTGTGGCGGCACCTCCAGCCTCGACGGTGACGGTGGTAGGGGCGGCAGCGGCGCCGGGGTCAACGGACTGGAGGTCTCCGGCGACGAGGCCGGTGCCGTTGGTCTTGATGGCTAGGCCCTTGAAGTCGGCCATGGTCTTGTCGCCAGTCTCGGCGGCGTTGATGCTGAAGACCATGCCCTTTCCGCAGTGGATGCCGTTTTGTTGCTTGCAGTAGAACCCTTGATGATGTTAGCTGTTGTTCGTGTCATCATGCAATGTAGAATACTTACAGAGCGGCTCTGTTGTCTCGACGGTCATGTTCCATGTGACACCAGCCTTGCCCTCAGGGTTGGGCATGAAGCCAGAGTCCATGCCTCCCTCCATCTTTTTGCAGGGCTCGGCGAAAGTTGATTGAGTGGCAGTGTGGTTCTTCTGCATGAATTCGAAGACGACCATGTCGCCGACGGCGGCCTTGATGGACTCGGGGTTGTATCCTAGTACGGGTGCCATGCCAGTCTCGACGGGCTTGACTCCACCAACGACGACCTATTGTATGTCAGATTAAGTTCAATAGTAAGTAGTATGAGTGTACTTACAGTGTGCGTCATCGCGCCAGCTGCGACCTCGGGGGCAAGGCTCATAACCTGCATCTCGGCGGAGGCAAGTACGGCCGCTAGGGGTAGTGCTGTGAAGTACTTCATTATGACTAGATTGCGTATCGTGTAAAAGTGTCGTAAAAGTGAACGTAAGCCTGCGCTGCAAGCACTAGAATATACGATAGAAGGTTTGAAGGATTGAAAGGGCACTACGAGGGCCGGCTCGGACAGTAAGAAGCAGATGAAGTAAGAGAAAGAGACAGTGAAGCACTGGTATTATGAGGCAAGAGCGATGAGATGAGGAGAAAGTTTATGCCTGGGGATTGTCTATTCCTTAAATCCACGCATGAAATTGTTGGATTTGGAAGGCGTGCAGGCCGTTGCGCACATGGCGAAACACCAGCCCCTTGCGCTCGGCATGGCATGGGGGAAACGTTGATCGGCTGCAAGAATGGCGAGATTTTGGTGATGCGCACTTGCTTGGGCGCAACGGCGGGGGGTGTTTGGGACTCGAACCGTTGGAGGTGGGTTCGAGACTGTCGCGGTGGTGTCGCAGATCCGTCTCGCTTCTCGCCAGACAAGCCGAATGCGGTAATCTAAGAACCACCAAGGCTATAGGCGCAGGGACAGAACTAATCAGAATGCCTGGACTATGGGGCTGGGAACTCGTGAGCCGCATGGAAACTGCAAAGCTTTCATCTCGCAGCCTGTGTTCCCGAGGAGTTGAGGCACGAACTGTGTAGGTCGTCAGTCGCGTGCAGGGACTAGACCATGGCATTCCTCACCCCATTGGTTCAAAACAACGACTTTCAAGCCTCAATATGTCTGCTTCGTCTTCTAAACTTGCTCGGCAGCCACAGTGTGATGCGCACTGCCTCCAAAATGCGTCATTCTCTGGATCCGCTACTGAGTCGCTGGGGGCTCTTTGCGAGCCTGCTGCTGGCCAGCATGCAGACCAGTGTAGTAACCGGCATAGTACCAGGACATCATAATGTTCTTCATATTCTCGTCTTGCACTGTTCAGAGTTAGCAGCATGTCACCAACTGTCAAACTTCCACACCATCCGGAAGTAACGGCTGTCAAAATCACGACTTACCGGTTCCAAGGATGGCCTGCGGCATGGCATCTGCAAGAGTGCCGGCAGCATGTGGCACCGGAGGAGCCTCAGCACTTGGCGATTGGATCTGCGGTTCTTGCTTCCCGGAGAGATCTGGTTCCTGGTTCTCGTAAGACAGGGTTCGGTACTGGGCTGTTTCATATGTACACGTACCTGCTGCGGCGACGGACCGCTTTGAGCAACGCCATTGGTTTCTGACAGCGGCGTGTCTACATCTTCATGATCCGCGACACCGCTGGTCTCTGCTGTTGCCGATACGGCCTCCGCTTCATCCATCAGGTCCCCGTATTCCCTAGAAACGTTAGTATCGTGATGTAAAGGCTTGGGGGGCTGCTTACCCCCGTGCTTCCTTTAGCTCTTCCTCCGTCAGGACGTCTTCAAGTTTCTTGCCTGATTGGTGGATACTGTGGTATTTCTGTTCTGTTTAGTCGATATCCTCGCGGAAACTACGAAAACGACGCGTGTAGAAACTTACCTTGTACTCATTTACCGCCTCATCCCAGGAATCGATCAGCAGAGAATCATCCCACGCGTTCTTGTCGCTCATGTCTACAACGGGTGCCATGTTGAACTTTGGATCTTCGGCGGTGTACAGAGCAAGTTGAGTTGCTAGCCTGGTAAAATGCTGTGAGGGCGTTCACTTTTTCTTTTCGGTTTCAAGTATTTCGCTTGGTGTGAGGTAAGTATCTGGAGTTGTAGGTTAATGGTGAGGGCTGGGGACTATCTTGGCAAGTGTCCATTAGCGCGACTGCCACGAAAAAAGTTCCCGCGTCTGAGCTCTCCTCCGAACTTTTGCGCGTAACAACATTCGCGACCACACAGACCCCACGCCATTACACCAAATCACAATGGCTGTTCAAGACACCACAGGAAAGAAGCGCAAGGGTGAGCAATTGCGACGTTAATAATTCCCGATCACGGTCGCTAACTTGTCTCAGGCGCATCAGAGGCGGCGCCCAAAGCGAAGAAGCCGAGAAAGTCGGACGATGTCACGCCCGTCGAAGCCAAGCCAACGCGGAAATCTGCGCGCAAGCAAGCCGCCGACTTCATGGACATTGAAGAGGAAGCTGCGCCCGTCGCCGTTGCCGAGCCTGTCAAGCCGAAGAAGGGCAAGAAGAGCAAGGCCGCTGCCGACGTCGATGCCGAGATGGCCGAGCCCGTCGCGGAGGTAGTCGAGGTTGCTGAAGTACAAGAGAAGCCTAAGAAGCAGGCGAAGAAGGGCAAGGCCGCTGCCAAGGTCGATACTGAGGCCGCTGAGCCTGTCGCTTCCGTTGTAGAGGTCACTGAAGTGCAAGAAAAGCCCAAGAAGGGCGGCAAGAAGGGCAAGACTGTAGTCGCAGAGGAGACCGTCGTAGCAGAGGCCCCTAAGGAGAAGGCCAAGAAGTCTAAGAAGGGAAAGGCTGCAGAGGCTGAACCCGTTGAGGACGCCGTCGCTGTAGTAGAGAAGACCACCACAGTCGCAAAGCCAAAGAAGGCAAAGGGAGGAAAGAAGCAGGAGGCGACCGAACCCGAGGTCGAGGTCACCGAGGTCACAGCGGTGGAAGACGACGCAGACGATGTTGCCGAAGATGACCAGACGGCGGCTCTCCTCGCTGGCTTCAGCGACTCCGACTCAGACGACGCCGATGAGGACGTCAACTTTGACGAAGAAGCAAAGGTTCCCAAGCTCAGCGCCAAGCAGCGGAAAGCGATCAAGCAGGCGGAGGCGGCACCCAAGTCCAACCAGCCCGGTGTCCTCTACGTTGGGTATGTGGACCAGTCCATTATATACTACATATTGCTAACAATGCGTTTAGTCGTGTGCCCCGCGGTTTCTTCGAGCCCCAGATGAAGCAGTACTTCTCGCAATTCGGCAAGGTCAACCGGTTACGCTTGTCACGCAACAAGAAGACGGGTGCTTCCAAGCATTTCGCTTTCGTCGAGTTCCAGTCCGAAGAAGTCGCTGACATCGTCGCACGAACAATGAACAACTACCTACTGTTCGGTCACATCCTCAAGGTCCACCTCATTCCTGCTGAGCAGGTACACCCCGACCTCTTCAAGGGTGCCAATGAGCGGTTCAAGGTCGACCCTCGCAACAAGAAGGCCGGTCTCGAGATGGAGCGCGGTGTTGAGCGTGCGCAATGGGAGAAGCGCGTGGAGAACGAGAACAAGAGAAGGACAAGCAAGGCTAAGCAGCTCAAGGAGGTCTTTGATTACGAGTTCGAAGCACCAGCGCTCAAGACTGTCGACAGCGTACCAAAGCACACCAGCATTACTACACTTGAGGCCGCGAAGCCCCAGCAGCTTCTTACCGAGACGGCTACTGAGGAGACCACAGCTGCTGAGCTCCCCAAGGCCAAGAAGGGCAAGAAGGGTGCCAAGGCTCAAGCAGCACCAGCACCTGCTGAGGTTACTGAGATCACAGAGGTAGTCGAGGCTGTCTCACCTGCGCCAGCAAAGAAGGGCAAGAAGGGTGCAAAGGCCAAGCCTGTTGAGGCAGCTGAGGTCGTTGTGGAGGAGGTTGCCGCGTCTGCCCCGGAGAAGAAGACCAGGAAGCGCAAGTCGGATGTCACGGTCGAGACTACTACCGTCACCGAGGAGACCGTCCCAGAAGTAACGCCCAGGAGCAAGCGAACCAAGAAGGAGAAGGTCGTCGTCGAGCCCATCGTCGAGGAGGTCGAGGAGAAGAAGACCGCTGCCAAGCCGAAGAAGGCCAAGAAGGCGAAGGCTTAAACGCGCTGATGTCAGTTCTGACAGCTGTCAGCTTCGTTGTACATGTTTAATGGCCGCGGCAGTTTACGACTTTCTGCATTCGACCACCTGCACCATTCTTCATCGATGAGCCGGCGTTACGTAGACAAAACGTGGTTTTAGCGTATCCATACCAATGCAGCATTCAACCATCCAGTTTCCGTTTCCCACCGCACGTTATGCGTGTTTTTCACATGCCATCCACCTGATTTGACGTGGTACTTCTCAAGTGGGCACTTCCCCCCTGGTCTCTACTCCACATTTAAACCTCATGCAGAAGGAGCACGAAGAATATTCGCGCTTACACTAGCTACCTTTCCGGATGTAGAAAGTTTCCGTAGAGTGGATTTTACGTCTAGTAGGCACGGGGGAATAGTTCTCGTATAAGATGACAGTGCTTCCTACGCCAAGATATCCATCAACTCTACATTGCTAACACACTGTAAAGAGTTCCTCTTTATCAATCCCTCGTCATATTCATTTCCCCATCTTCCCATCAGAGTCATCACTTCAAAATGGCGGAGAACGACGCACGCCTCGCGGCATCCCAAATGTACGAGTCTGTTACCACATTGCCCGCAGCCAAACGCCACATCATCACCCACAACGCAGAGGGTAAAAGCACTGTCCATTCGAGCCCAACGTTGCAGTACTACGGATACCCCGGTATCGGTGGAACATCTCGATCATGTACGTCTTACCCCTACCACCATCCACCGGCGAGACTCAAACAACATTACACACCGCCGACATATCCATCAAGCAGCCATACTAACCCTACCCCGACTAGACGCCACATCCTCCATCCCAGCCTCCCTCCAAAACGACCAGGACATCTTGGCCTATACCTCCACAGAAGGAGAATCAAGCTACACCGGTCGCAGCATCGTAGCCAACGGCTCTGGCTCCCACCTCATCGTGTGCGACCTCGCTCCCGGGCAGGCGAGTATGATGCACCGCACTGTATCTATGGACTACGTAATCTGCACCCATGGCGATGTTCGTATGGAGACTGCGACTGGGGAGATGGTGGATTTGAGGCCTGGTGTACGTACTCCCTTTTTCCTCCTTGGGGATTCCCCGTTTCGGGTTGTTTTGGGAGTATCGCAAAAGGACGCGTGATTTTGTTGCAACGTTACTGATGGATTGGGGATAGGATCATATTATCCAGCGAGGCACGATGCACAAGTGGCATAACGCGTCGGAAACTGAGCCCGCGAGGTTCATTGCTATCACATTACCTGCGGAGCCGTTTAAGGTCCCGGGTACGGGGGAGATGTTGACGGAGGAACATGTCCAGGGAAGTGAGGCTAAAGACTGGGATGTCAGTAAGATGTGAATGAGTGGCTCGGAGATCTGGGGAAGGATGGAGCGTAGTTAGAGTCTAGAAGAGGATATAAGAGCGGCACAAGGATGTTGAAGCATACGACTACAAATATGAAGAGATCACCAAAGGTCGCACCCAAAGTTATATAGACATTCAAGGATTTCATTTCGCTAATGATGTAACACAAAGACCACACATACAACCCTTATTTTGCCTCGCCGCTGCATTATCGATGACAACTAAGCTTACAAGGAACAGCAAATCTAGCCTGTGCCCGATACTGCGAGCTTCATGAGATGGTCCATGAAAGTCTGCAGACTGACGTCGTCGGTGAAGATGGTCTGAGCTGTCGCAGCACCGCCATAGCTGTTAGTTTGATGTGTGGTCGAGGGGTTGAGCTTGCTGAGCAGGAAACGAGCTTGTGAACCGCCGGCATCACAGACGATGAATCGAGGCAATGGGAAACGATCCTGGATGAGCTCCTTGGCATCCTCCTTCGGTGCCTCCAGAAGCTCCCTGAAGTTCTCGTAGCCTTCTTGCTCTTGGTATCCAGCCTTCCGCCATTCGGCCATTGTTTCGCCGTGGAAGATGAGAATGTGGAAGAATGTGTCGAGCAATAGCACCGTCTCGTTTTGGATGGAGCTAGAGTCAAGCAGAACAGGCTGACCACCCTCGTGGTCGAAGCCGTAGCTGTCGAGTGTCGGCTGAATCATGATGAGAGAGTTGCTAACATCCTCGTGGTTCAAGACGTGACGGTAGAAGGCGGTTTCGTCTGGCGAATTGTTGAAGACTTGCAGGAACTGCGACCGACGGAGATGGAACATGAATTGCGGGTATAGTGTAAAGTTCTTCTCGAGCCTGGTCTAGTAGTTAGTATTTGAGGTTCAAGTGAGAACTATATGTCCAAAGTGATGAAAGACTTACCTGAATGACGACGGGTCATCTTTCCTGTACTCGGCGAAGCGAGCGCATAGTCGGATAAGCATGCGATCGACCCATCGGAGAACGTCTGGGCCATCGTCGACCTCAGCCTTGAAGACTGCTATCCTCGACATGAGGACAGCAGCAGCTTCTTGATCGAAGGACTGGGCGATAGCAGGGTCGCCAGATGGGCCGCTCATGGGTCGGGCCACGGTGGTAACTGTAAATATTTAGTATGCGTGCTTAGCTTAAACACGTTTCAGAGAACTCATACCTCTCAAATGATACTGGCCAGCGGAGTGCTGATAGTATGTGAGGAACTGAATGAGAGCCTGTTGCTGCGAAGAGGTCACGTTCGACCCGCCTTGGTTGGCAATCTCGAAATAGATCGAGTATGAGGCTTCAGGGTCGATACCGCACATTTTCCAGGCGCATGTGTTTCCGATACCGCATTCCGTCTCGCCAACAGAGACAGACTTCTTGTTCTGCGACACAGCGTGTCCAATAAGACCAGTGATCTTCAACTCTCTGGTTGTCAGCACCTCAAATTCGGCATTGAATCCCATAAGGAGGTTGTCGTCCGCATCCTTGTTGAAAACGCGCACGAAGGATTGCTTGTACATGGACGAGGTGAAGCTATCCGTCAGGATCATGTGTCCACCAGTGTTGTTTGCAAGACCCCTCATCTCAAGAAGACCGACCTGATCCAGACATCCGGCAAAAATGTCAACAATATGGCCGTTGTGGGAAATGCGCTTCGCAAGGCCCTCGTAGAACTTCAGTGCCTTCTTGTAGTACTTGATGTTGTCGCGGTCGATATCGTGATGCGATCGGATGGGCTCGCGCAGCTCCGGGCCAACAACCATGCCAGGTCCCTCGGTGGCTGGACCACCGCTAAACAACATGATGCGGGCGGCACTATTCATGAAGCTCGTCTCCAGAAGTCCAGCAGCGACGCTGAGCGCCACACCGGTGCACCTCAAGGGACGCTTGTCGTTCGCGACCGGCCAGGGGTCCCGCTGGATTGATTCGAGAGCGTTGGTCAACTGCAATTCGCACTGCGATACGGGTAGGATGAAGCGCGTGCCAACGCCACCTGGAGCGCCCATAGGTGGTCGTCCAGGCTGCTGTGGGACACCGGGTCGAGGAGCCATCTGGCTAAGGCCTAGCATCTCGTGCACTTGCTTGGTGGAGTAGTCCTTGCTTCCGCGGAAGACGTACGACTTGGCGCATTCGGTGTAGCCCAGCTCGTGTACTTGTGTCTATGGCTGTCAGCTTTTAACACTCATTGTAGCTTCCTGTACCTACCATTGTACCGTAAGTGACCAGACCAACCAGCGCGTATGCTGGGAGCAGGCTCAAAGCCATGATGATCGAGTCCTTCAGCGCCTTCAAGCTGTCTTCCTCTTGACATGTGTCTACAACAAAAATGAAGATAGGTGGGCTCGGTATGGGTCGGGGAAGGCGGTATTCGATCGTGGTACTGTTCGGGTGCATCTCTGGGGGCATCTGCTGGTTGGAAATGTCCTTGTAGTGCGGGGGGAGGTGATTGCGGTTCAAGCAGAAGGGGCATATCCATTGGTTTGCGCGCATGTCAATTTGACTGTCTCAATGTCAGCTTGAGATAAGTTGTAAGAGACTATGCCAGACAAACCAGTAGGGGTTGAGGATAGCTTTGCATGGCGCCCTGCAGCTGACAGGCTCATACTGGAGGAGCGGAGTGTCCGTCTTCTCCTTGAGAGGGGTGTAGTGTGCACCAATGGGAACGACTAGGCGGGAAGCTTCCTGTGAACCATATCAGTGCCTTGCATCCCTCGCGCCGGCCTTGTCTATCGTACCATGCGCGTGCTGGGAAACGTGTTCCAGCTGAGACGGACGCCATCCCTGTCTTCAATGTCGCTCCACTGGTCCTTGAGCGCCTCAAAGTCGGCCATGCTGGGCGGTTGCAGCTATCTGGGCTGCGCGAGGAGGTCTGGGGTGGGTGAGGGTTGTCGAAGGTTGGTGGTGGAGGGACCGAGGGCGCCCACGATGGGAGATTTGGCGGGGCGGTGTGAATGTAGCAGGCGCGAGACGGGGAGCTGCAGTTGTATGCAGCAGAAGATACCGAGACGTGTCAAGTGTTCCTCCCTCAAGGCAACAACTGCACAGGATAATGCAACGTCGTAGGAAGCTCACGCACTTGAACTTGCGTGGATACCAGTTGGCGATGCGGCCAGATGTTCTTGCCCTAGCGCTCCCAATTGGGCCTAGCACCACCGAAGCTCCGCTCCGCCCCAGCCTCAAAACCGCGATTTTCCTCGCCGTCGCTCTTTTTCTCTTCATCATCGCCAGCAACAAATACACTACGTAATGGCAGACTCTCATTTCTCTGATGAATGAGCCTGTTTTCGCGCTGCGCGAAGAAGAGATTTAGACCCATGGCTGGGCGCCCGATCTGGAAAACTCATTCTGAGTATACTGATAGGTTGGGAATCAGCAGAGGTCACATTCCATCATCGTGCAGTGTTCGTCATTAGAACCTCGTGGACCTCTCATCTGGACTAGAAGGAGGCCTGCAAGGCAGGTATCTTCAGCCCGCATCGTCAAGCAACGTGTTCTTGGTACCGTACTCGTTGTTGACCATGGTCCATAGTCTTGCTGAAGGTAACGTCCACCTACTCGATCACTGTAGCCTTCAGGCAATCGTACACGTCACTTCTGATGTTCAGACCCATCCTGCTCTTTGGAGAGCCTACGCTTGTTAGCAGTTACACGATATGATGACATCCAAGGGCTTCCCCTTTTGACGACGCGTTTGTACAACGAATTCATGTCCTTACGTGGGGGGGAAAGCCCCAATCACTACATTCCTATTCAAGCGGTTCGTTGCGAGGCGAGCGCGGCCGTCTTGGTTCTGTCAGAAGCGTTTGATGAATATACAGCATTTGGACTTCATGTAACTTATACAACGACACCCACGTCTAACACCATGATCGGCCGCAGTCTACGGATCCAATTACACATTGCCGGAGACACGTCCGATGTTCCCGCTGGAGCCTCCATATCTGCAGCTGTGTTTGGACGTTACCAAACTCCTGATAAATTAACAATCTGAGTCCGATCGGGTAAATGCGTCGCAATACACTAGCCTCATCACCTGCCAGCGTACTGTACGACAGACTAGACTTTGGGTATATATGTATTTACGATGCTTAGCAACACTGTCTTGAACGTCTCCGTATTTCCAAATCTAGTCAATGCTACAGTCCATGATCATGGCTCGCACCTCTGCACTTTTCATCTCGCTTCTTGCAGGTCAAGCCTGCGCTCACACTTTCATCTGGGTATGCTCAGCCACTCTCATCCTCTTGTTCCCCATACTAACACCCCCAGGGAGTCTTCGTCAACGGCATAGACCAAGGAACCTTCAAAGGCATCCGCATCCCCGCCTACAACGGCCAAAATGGCAAAGGCGGCTACAACAACTCGCCCGTCAAAGACCTCGACTCCATCGACATGCGCTGCAACGTCATGGGCGACATCCAAGCCCACGACACCATCAAAGTACAGCCCGGCGACAACCTGACCTTCGACTGGCACCACGATTACCGCAACGACAAGGACGACGTCATCGCCAACTCGCACCATGGCCCCTCGCTCATCTATATCTCGCCTGATCCGCCGACGGAGAACTCCTTCGTCAAGATTTGGCACGAGGGCAAGTTCGAAAGTAATCCGTTTCCGCAGGCGGGCAAGTGGAGTACTACTGGTGATATTGCGATGAACTTTGGGCATATGAATGTTAGGGTGCCGGAGGGGTTGAAGGCGGGACACTACATCATCCGTGCTGAGATGGTTGGTCTGCACGAGGGCGACGTGAGCTATCTCACGAACCCGAAGAGAGGCGCACAGTTTTACCCCGACTGTGTTCAGATCGAGGTTGAAGGCGATGGCGAGGTTGAGCTGCCTGAGGGTGTGAGCTTCCCTGGAGCTTACTCTTATGAGGACCCTGGTGTTGTGCACAACGTAAGTCTTTTCTCTATCTAAGTCATAGCGCGTGGTTCGTTCCCTAACTTGACGCAGGTATACTGCTCCACCGAGACAAAAAAGCCGAAGACGTCTACTACTCCCTGCGTCACAGACTACATTATCCCAGGCCCTACCGTATGGTCTGGTGCCTGGGCTGAGACTACTGTAGTCCCAGTCGGACCTGTTGACGGTGTCACAACTGCGACTGCATGGAGCACATGGATTGGCACCGATAGTGTTGTTACAAGCGCGACATTTGCGGATGTGAAGAGTCAGACGATTGTGGGAAGTTCGAAGTACACTGCGAGCTGGAGCGACACGTATGCTACGCCTACTGCTACGGCAGCGCGTTGGTAGATCGGGGTTGAGAGGACATGTGCAATAGTTCGACGCAAATCAGAACGCATTCATTTCTCTGAAAGTCGTTCGCAGTCCATTTTCTGGGAGCTTTTCGTCGCAGGGGCCTCTGGAGGGGATGTTGAGCCCATTCCCTTCCAAGTGCTTTCCCAATACCACGTCTCTTTCCAAAATCCAGATCGCAAAGCAGATCAATATCACAGCATAAACCGCCGAAAACCATACCCCCAGCTTCCTCGTCTAGTCGCCGTCCATGCTGCTCAATCATCCAAGACTATGACTTCAGGCTTGCGCTTCTTTCCCTGTCCGCGCGCAGCGCCATCATCAGCGTGCTCGCGCTTGATCCGCGCCTGCGATGCATTCGAGATGGGCTCTTGCTTGATCTGTACGCTTTCCGCGTCTTCTTCCTGCATAATGGTTAATGGCTTACAGATCCCGAATTTGAAGGTCCGTACCTCGTAATGCTTGAGCAGTAGCAGTAGACGCTTCCGGCTTTGACCCGCCAGCCCTTTGGTGTCGCCCCGGTAGTGCTTGATGAGAGCAATGATTTCTGAATCTCTGAGTCCGTGGTGTTCGGTAAGAATGGGTTGACCTGAATCCTGTTGGGACGGAGTGGGTGTGCTGCTGGCGGCTTGTGGTTGTGGAGTAGTAGCAGGTGATATGACGTTCGGGATAATATCCGGTGTGGGCTCAGGTAACGCTTCCTTCTTGACCAACTCTAGTTTTGGAGCTGAAGATGGACTTGGTGACCGGGATATCATGCCGAGAGTTTTCAGTGCGGCTGTTGCTTGTTAGTATGATGATCATGCGCTTACGTGAACGACTTACCGATAGAGCGATATTTGAACTGGAATGCTACCAGAGGCTCTTTCGCCATGTTAGATATGCATTTAGCAGTTGGCTTTATGATATGTGCTGGTGCCAACCTATTCATTGTTTAGCACCTTCTGAACGGCATCTACGATACGGACATACCTTATCATGTGAGAGCGCACATCACCCTTAACAGATTCTTCAGAGACTTCTCCAACCTCTCTTAACTCCATCTTTTTGCCTTCTGGATGCAGTCCTTTCCGATAGCTTAGGACCGGTATTAGTTTGACAGATATAATGCCCACGCAGCTCAGAGCCTCTAGGGTTCCTCCAAAGGTCGTTGCACTGTTCTCTTCGACTATGATGTCTCAGTATGTACGCGATCGTATTTGCGGCTTCATTCGGAGCTTACATACCCACACTGAGGTCTGAAAAGAGAAAATTAGATGCCCTCCATGTCCCGTTTTCGATCCAGCGCGTCTTCGACTGAGTGTAAGGTCTCGTGAACATTTTCGTTTTGTATACGATGTACTTGCTCATGGTTACTCCGTCTAGACGAACGCATAAGTTCATGTCCATCGGTACAAAAGGTGACTTGAAATTGGTCTTGATCGCGAATTCCGCACCCGACCGGCTTTCAACGTATCGCGTGGTTGTCTTAGGCACATCTTCCTCTTCCTCGTTCTCGTATTCCTCAAGTGGTTTTCCGTCGACATATATCTCAACCGTCAGACCAGGGCAGTCGGCATGGATCGCCATGTTGATGTTTAATTCGACTTGAGAGACGGTGATGATGGTAGAAGAAAAGAGGTGGGAGAAAAAGACGCTGGATATATGAGGCCAACTGTACGCTAGCGTGTGGCGACAGCCAGGTAAAGGCGGTATGGCATGCCGGTTGGGCTCGAGGTGAGTGAGTGTTCCCAAGAGAGTGAGAGATATTACGCATGCATTGTGATTACAAGTATACCAAGTTGGATTTAGGGACAAGCGATGACGGGAAGTGAATGGAAGAGTCTTACCATCTACAGCAGTAAGTCGCTATCGAAGAAGACATAGCGCTCAACCAGTGTTGAAGGTGAGTGCATGAGCATCTGTATCCTTCACCAGGTCTTATCATGTTCCTATCCCGTCAGCTCCCACCGAGGGAAGCCATAATGGACAAACTTTTGCACAACCAAAACACACTCCTAGTCCAGCACGATAACTTCGTCATCCGCACCACGGTGACGCTTCCGGTCTCTAGACCTTACAACCGTGACCTCCTCGCCATCGCTGGCTTCGACAACCTCGTCGACCCGCTTGCGCTTGTCGATGGCTTCTTTCTTGACCTTGACTGCAGCAGCCTTTTGCTCCTGTAGTAGTGAGTATGTGGTATTGTGAACCTGTACCATCAACGTACCTTGAATTGCTTGACGAGTTGGCGCAGCTCATCCGGAGTGAGTTCATCTTCGGGTCGCTCTTCTAGAGGTGGAGGGGTGGGCTCGCGTGGGACGAGACCTAGGATCCGAAGAGCATCTAAGTGGGTCAACAGGTGCCATAGCCTGTTGCAGACTGCTTTCACTTACTGATGGAGCGATACTTGAAGTTGAAAATGGTGAAAGGCGAGTCGGTTACCTTGTCATAATCTGCATAGTGCCCTCTTTGCCAAGGTACGGGTTCAGATAGCCTATACATATTAGCGTCATCTATACTGTGTGCGGAGCAATGTACCCAGCTCTATGAGTGTAGGTCTGGCCTTTCAGCGCCTTTTCAGAGACTTGTAATGATTCTGAGATACTCCCGACAATGTGATTTGGGGTACGCGGCCGCAGGTTTCGTACGTAAGTCAAGTCGACAGTGATAGTGCCAGCTGAGACCACATCAGAAAGGTATGTGGTCCCGTCAACTTGAATCATTAGATCGGCTTCAGCATAATTCAAATCTTTCTTCGCTTGAACTTACTGATTTCGAGCTCAGCGAAGCGGAATCTCTGTATCTTATAGTGTTCGCCGATTTGGGACTGACGGCCCTCAATCATTCTACCTTTGAAGAACTGGGCTTCGCTTATGATTGCACTCATCAACCTTCGCCCATCGAGACTGACCACAGCTTCAATGTAACCCTTCGGGAAAGGAAACTCTTTTTCTATGAGTGATACTTTGATCGCGAAGCTGGCTCCAGATGTTGCTTCGACGTATTTCGTGACCGTCGTCGGGGACGCGGGAGTGTCGCTATCGTCGTCGTACTCAGGGAGTAGAGCGTTATTGACGATGATTTCGACCGTAAGGCCGGGCAAGAATGGATGAACAGCCATGGCGTAGCAAGATATCTGGAAGTAAGTTGTGTTACTGATAGGAAGGAAGAAGGAAAGAAGGTCTCGAAAGCAGGATGCTCGGGTCCTTAAATACTGCGTACTGTTGAGACCAGGTGAGAGACGCAGGCAAGGAGTGAATGGAGCTAAGGAGGTAAAGGCAAATATCATACTGACAAGTGCTGGCATGCTGTAGGTACATGAGCGGTGACTAAAGTTCCCGAGTGGCTACATCTAAACATTCCTAAATATGTAGAAAGATGTGTTCTTCCATGGCGATTAGCCTAATCATTCGTACACGCCCCTAGAGGCCGTTCCATATATCAATACTTTGGCAGTATACTTCCATGCGTAAAATTCGAGTCGGCCCAGGGTTCGGAGTTCGCTTCCATCTCGAACTATACCGTCTTTTGACTTCTATACCACCTTGAACTCCGCGCCGTGAAGATAGAATAGATATCCTCTCTCAGTCTAACACGATGATTTCTCGCTCCACGTGCGGAAGTTTGCGCTGTCGCGTCTCAACATAGGTCACTTCGTCGTCATCATCGATGATCCTCTCGCGCTTGACTCCAGTAGTGGCTTCGTCTTCGGTCTTGATCGAGGTGCTCTCTGACTCTCGCTATATGTAGGTAAGTATTAACGCCAGAGACATGTGGCGCATACATACTTGTTGCGCACGATTTAGCAGTTCTCTCAGCTCTGTGGGCGACAGGTCTTTTGCGAGTCTGTCTTCCAGGGGGACAGGAGGCGCTTCGTTCATGGAGACAAGATGAAGTGCCTTTATGCTCGCTTGAAAGTCGTAAGTGTCAGTGGGTGGCACTATATGAGCGCGATCGTGACTCACCAAGCGACCGATATTTGAAGTGAAAAGTCGCAAATGGCTTCCTATCTACATAATCGAACTCTGTCCATTGACTAGAGAAGTTGAAATGGCATTTCCGAGGCTTTGATAAGCTTTTGAAGAAGTCAGTCCTTTGCCAATCAACAAATTTACCCACTCTCTACATACACTGCTTGGTGCGATAGGGCGTCGCCTTTAAGCGCCTTCTCTGGAATCTCCTGGAGCGCTGCAAGTTGCTGATGTCTATCATCGTTGTAACTTGTATCGTCTGTGACCACATCTTGGATGAATTCGACGAAGTTGAGAGAAAGAGTAATACAACCTTTGATGCTGAGAATTTGCTCCAGAGCAACAACATCGGGGGCAGCCTTATCAGCCTCTTCCGCTGCACAAAACCGTAAGTAGATGACAACAACAGGTCTTTATAGTACTTGCTAATATTCAGTTTGGCGAAGGTGAATTTCTGTTTGACACACTCGCCGCCTTGGTAAGAACGATAGGTATTGACCTTCCAGCCTTGGAAAAGTTCATCTCGCTTGCGTATCTTGATGTCCATCATTACCCCGTCAATAGAGATTCGAGCCAGGACGTCATACTGAGCTGGGAATGGGGTCTTGAATTCGGTCATAATCGAGAAACTCTTGCCTGAGCGCGCTTCAATGTACTTTGTCGTTGTATTCGGCTCAGGAATCTTATCGTCGTCGTACTCCTGCAATGGCTGGCCTTGGACGCAAACTTTGACTTCCAAGCCAGGAAGCTCAGGGTGGATGGCCATCTCGCTGCGCTTTGGAGTGATCTGTCGGAATTGAGGATGCCCCCGCGGTAGTCCAGTGCCTGCGAAGAAGAGCCGCTAAGCTTGTTGCACTGAGGACAGCGTCGGGGTGAGATGTAACACTGACGACCGAATGGAGGGTAGAACTTGTTGATCGTCTCAGGTGAATGCGATCTGCAGCGCAAAGGTTTCATCTGGAATGGAAGCAGTGAGTGTGCTGAAGGCTCGATGTTCAATGCTCGCTCTATACCGAATACGGCAAGGCGGGACGGCTAGCGCGTGGTGAGAACTGTTGACGGGCAGGAGCGTAGGCAGGAGCGTCCGCTTCAGCACCCTTGACTTTTCCAGATTTGACAGGATTAGTACACTCGGGGCTACTCAGCACACGGCGGAGGATGTCGAGATCACTAGTTACCTGGGTGCTATCGTGCGCATTCACTGAGGCGGAAGCATGGACTCACCTCGCGTACCGCGTGCCAGCAATGTAAGTCTAGAGATGTCGACAGTGGTAAAGCAAGGCATGCTCGGCTTTCGCGATGGTGTGAATCAGAGCTCATCTCATGCGACAGGCGCACCTCCTCTGTGATGAAGATGGCGAAGATAGCAACCAGGAATGAAGCATCGTGGCACGGGTTGCACTGAGAGAGAGCCGCCTCGAACAACAAGCATGCGATTAGCAAACTGAAGATCTACGTTCAGTCAGCTACTCAATCATATTACAACTTGAAACGCATCAAGCTCGCAAGTGTAGCCAGGAAAGACGTCGTCGACGCACTAGATCCACGGCAAACGTTACTGAGAGAGTTTTATTAATAATACCTACTGCTGCATTACAGCGAATATAAGGTGTTTAGGAAATATACCTATATTAAGATTACTATATAGAGTTACTAGACCGCGTTTTGTTGCCCTGCTCTGCATCAACATTCCACTATAATAGTAGCCAGGAAAGCGGTGACTGACCACGTAACATATGAGTTTTGGAATGCCTCCCTAGGTTGGTCACGGAATGTGAGAGGCGCCAAAGAATGTTGTTGCTAGAGACGAAGCGAATCCGTACGGTGTTGAGCTCATAGGTAAGGCTATTGGTAAAGACCCCGCTCGTTATGTTTTTAGTATATCTGAGTATCTTGATCTTTGGCGCGAGCCAGTCGTTCG